AGGTGTTTGTTTGCTGTCAGTCACACTTGAGAACGAAGGTCATTGGCCAGAATGGGCATGGCCACTGCAAGGGTGTGACATTGGGATATTTAATCCTCTGAACAAAGGAGTTCTTACTCTTGTGCTCTTGGGACTCCCACAGGGCTCACAGGGCCATATGGACCCCAGACACAATGGACTCATGGACTGCAGCTAGCCTGATGCTGAACGGACCGGCTCCAATATGGAAAGGAAACTCTGGACACTGGCCTTGCTTCTAGTTTTACTGAAACCCCAGCTACACCACTTCTGTGACTGGACTAAGAGAAATGGAACTTTGGAATTTTTCTTGAGATATTGTAAGGACTCCACCCTGTGGACGAAAAGGGGCCACATGCTAACCTGACTAGCTCAGAGGAGGCCTGCGTGGCAGCCTTGCAAATGTACAGGCCTAAAGTAACCACAAAGGATGGTCTAAAATTAAAACTTTTTAAATTAAAAAAGCAGTTTACAGTGGGTAGTCACGTCTTAGGCTAGTATCTTCCCTGACAAAGATCAACTTTGATCTTAACTGAGCCTACTGCCTTTTTGCATCTCTGATAACAGGCATTTGGTATGTCAGGGTAACTTGTAACCTTCCCTTTTCTGGTTGTGCCACTTGCTTCGCTCAGGGCTCAATCAATGCACCAGGGTGGAGACCACAAATTTCTTCGTTGTAATTGTTATTGTGTTAATTGTCGACTGTTAACTATCCTGTACCACCTATGTATAGGAAGCAAGTGTCTATCATTTTACTTTTTATCCAATCCCAGAGGCCCTCCCCCTCCCCTTGCTTTCCTCCGCCTCCCTAATCTATCACCAATGGATTTCATGTAACCCACTTACATCTCCTCCTGTGATTGTAATTTATAAAACAAACGGAAAAACTGCCATTCTCATGAGCATTATCTCAATACTAGAGGCCCAGTGCACGAAATTCGTGCACTGGGGCGGGGGGGGGTGTCCCTCAGCTCAGCCTGCACCCTCTCCAATCTGGGACCCCTTTGGGATCGGGCCTAACCTGCAGTTGGACATCCCTCTCACAATCTGGGACTGCTGGCTCCCAACTGCTTGCCTGTCTGCAAGCCTGATCACCCCCTAACCACTCCCCTGCCAGCCTGATTGACACCTAACAGCTCCCCTGCCCGCCCGATCGCCCCCAACTGCCCTCCCCTGCTGGCCTGGTTGCCCCAAACTGCCCTCCCCTGCCGGCCATCTTGGGGGGGGGGTGCGACCATCTTGTGCGAGTGCATGATGGTCAGTTTGCATATTACCACTTTTGTTATACAGGATGTCAAGATTCTGCTTCCCTGAAACTATCAACAGTTTGCCTCAAGTAAACTCAATAATTCTTTACAGGTTTGAATGTTTCAACCCCCAGCATCACAGTGGGGAAGAGGAACCTCCACTTCATCCTATAACATAGCCAGGCCAGTTCCCAGTCTCCATTACAGCTAGGGTGGCCATAGGACTGAGTTCTAGCCAATGGGATGTGTGCAGAAGTAACATGGAACCTTCAGACCCAGCCCATTAGAACCCCACGCCCGCCACTCCACGCTGTCTTCCCCACCTCCAGCTCACTGGGACGGGATGTCTAAGCTGGCAGAGGCTCTGTCAGCAGGATCCTTGATTGGCCACATGGAGGACAGCTGTCCCCACCAACCACGAATGCCTACTGTGGACTTACTTCCATGTGAGAAATAAAAATTCCACTAATTTTTTTGAATAGGCCCACACATAGGGCATGTTTAGGTTCATCTGTTGCAGCCGTGAACATTACCCTAGGCAACACTCTTATACATCAATCAATGAGTGCAATTTCAACTGGGCAATCAATGGGCGCTTACTCTTTGCACACGGAGACCTAAGTTCTAACAAGAAGCATTTCATCCACTAGTCAGGAAACCAGGAACGTCGGCAACTAACATGAAAACCAGGAAACCGGGTTTGAGCTGTGACAGAAGGACAAGCAAAGACTTATGAGAACACAGCGGCAAGTGTGATACTTGTGGAAGCATCACAGAACTGCTGGCAAGCGAGCTGGGCTTTGAAGGATGAGCTAAGTTCAGAAGAAAGAGGAGCGTAGAAAGTTCATTCCAGACTGGACATGAGTCGTCAAATATTTTGTCCAGCGGGACGTGATGCTAAAAAGAGAAAAAAGAATGTTCTGTTCACTCCAGGGACTAGAATCCAGGACA